CCTCCCTCCCTCCCTCCCTCCCTCCCTCCCTCCCTAGCTTCTCCCAGCCTTGTGTTGTCAGGTCTCTCCCTCCCTCCCTCCCTCCCTCCCTAGCTTCTCCCAGCCTTGTGTTGTAAGGTCTCTACCTCCCTCCCTCCCTCCCTCCCTAGCTTCTCCCAGCCTTGTGTTGTCAGGTCTCTCCCTCCCTCCCTCCCTCCCTCCCTCCCTCCCTCCCTCCCTCCCTCCCTCCCTCCCTCCCTCCCTAGCTTCCCCCAGCCTTGTGTTGTCAGGTCTCTACCTCCCTCCCTCCCTCCCTCCCTAGCTTCTCCCAGCCTTGTGTTGTCAGGTCTCTCCCTCCCTCCCTCCTCTTTCTTCTCTCCTCTTACCTCCTTCCTCTTCTCCTGTGTGTGTGTGTGTGTGTGTGTGTGTGTGTGTGTGTGTGTGTGTGTGTGTGTGTGTGTGTGTGTGTGTGTGTGTGTGTGTGTGTGTGTGTGTGTGTGTGTGTGTGTGTGTGTGTGTGTGTGTGTGTGTGCGCGTGTGATATCCTATACACGCTGCACTTTTGACCAACAGGTCTGGCTAATGGTTTTCCGACTCTCCAAGGTGGCCTGAAACAGAGCCAGACACCAGAACACAGAGAGACCTAGCTAGCCTTGCATCTGTCCGTCCATCCATCCTTCCTTCCATCACTCTATCTATCTGCCTTTTCACCTCCCTCTGTCCCTGCTTAGCTCCAACGTAAGCTGATTACAGCTTCATAATACTTTCTGTCACACTTCTCCATGTTAGACTTCATTGTGAGGCACAGGGCTAGATGGAGTGTCAGTTTGTTTTACTAGGTCTGTCTTTATGTAATGTTGTCAGCTGCACATAGAACAGTCATTAGTTTAGAATGGAACCTTCTCCTTCATTCCTCCTCCTCTCCTCCACTTCTCCTCTAATCTCCTCCACCCTTTCTCTCCTCCTTGTCTCTGTGGTTTAGGGCTCCTCTATCTATCTAAATCTATTTCTACTCCATCTCTTCTCTCCTCTCCTCCCCTTTCCTCTCCTCCTCTATCTTTAACAGCACAACTCATGTTAGAGGACACAACAGAAATGACAACGTGATGTTGAATATCTCTCTGTCTCTGTGTCTCTCTGTCTTAGTGTCTGAGTCTCTCTGTCTCTGTGTCTCTCTGTCTGTCTCTGTGCCTCTCTGTCTCTGTGTCTGTGTCTCTGTGTCTCTCTGTCTCTGTGTCACTCTGTCTCTGTGTCTCTCTGTCTCTGTCTCTCTCTGTGTCTCTTTGTCTCTGTGTCTCTCTGTCTCTGTGTTCTCCTGACCAGATCCCACCACACAACTAAATTATGTTCACTAACAGGCTGACAGCCTTGGGCCTTGTGGCACGTACAGTGCAACACAACACAACAAAGCACAACACAACACAACACAGAACAGTACAACACAACACAATACAATACAACAACACAACACAGAACAATACAATGCAACACCACAACACAACATTACAATACAACAACACAACACAACGCAACACCACAACACAATACAATACAACACAATGCAGAACAACGCAACACCACAACAACACAACACAACACGCCATTACAATAACACAACACAACACAACACAGAACAATACAACCCAACACCACAGCAACACAAAGGAACACAACACATCGCATCACAATGGCCACAATGATTTGGTTTAAATCTGTAAGGGATGTGAAGCCTTAAAAAATACAGGATATAAAACATTATTTCAATTGTAAACATAGGAACTAATGTCTGCGCTAAACTGTTATATTGGTCAACAAAACATCTAAAGTGTGTGTATAGACTATGTGAGGTATAAATAAACCCAGGTCTATATGCCTGTGTTCCTGTGTGGGTATGTTTTGTGTGTGTGACGTCCTGCAGTTCTGTGCAGTGATGTGTCCGATCCTCCCTTTCACAAGGTTTTGTGTGTGTGTGTGTGAGGGGTGGTCTCAGCCTCAGCCCAGCCTTGGCTCAGCCAGTCAGTGGTAATTGTATCCAGGTGTGTTTGGGGTTGGTTCCCTGAGTTACTACTGTTCGCCTGTGATTTACAAGACTGTGTGAGATATGGAAACCTCTCACGCAACTCCAGATATGGACTGAGAGGAAGCACATTGAGCAATGGCCCCTTACACACACACACACACACGTCATGAACACACAAACCAACGCACACACGTCACGCACGCACACGCATGCATGCGAACACACACACACACACAAACAAACACTGTGGGGAGGAGTTGGGAGAAGCATGCTATTCCTCCATTTGCTCATATCTGTTTACAGTGTTTTCATCTCTCCAGCTTGGCATCTTGTAGCGGTGAGAATGTCTGCTGGGGCTGTAATGGGAAAAGCATGCTGAGAATACTGCGTTCCAAATGGCACCCTATTCCCCTACACAGTACACTACTTTTGAACAGGGCCCATAGTGATAATTATAGAGGTCTGCCTGCGACCCGCTCTAACATTATAATAAATAGTTCAATGGCTGAAATTAAAATCACTTTCTTTTTTTGAGAGCTTTTTTGCAATAAACATCATTTTGTAAGATTTATTTGTAATTCACGGAAACTGAGACGTGATTTTAATTTGCTGAACCTCAATATTGTTGAGTTGTTGTGTGAGTATAGATGTGGTTACTGCCAAGACTATGTGTTATGTTGTTGTTGTTGTTGTGCTCGTGTAACTAATTCTATACAACACATTTCATGTTGTTTATCCATGTGGTTCGGTGCTTTGTAGTTGTTCTGATGACAGTGACACACCTAGTCTTATATAAAACACAAAATCTCACACACACACCTTGCCTTATGAAACAGGCGGACGGTGAGGGACGCAATGGATTACTAAAGTTATTTCCTCTGGCATGCAGACAGGCTTCTCGCGTGCCTCTACCTCCACAGGATCCTTTCTAACCTCAGATCTGTCCTCTCACACACACACACATACACACACACTTCCCCTCTCTCAGGTAGGCTGGACGTTCCAGTTCTGAGAACTGTTTTAATGAAACACAGAGGGTCTAACTTCTGATTCTAACAGACCCTCACACTCTGAGGCCAGGGGAGGAAGGAGGGCAAAGGGGGGTGGGGTGGGGAGATGGAGAGGGGTTTTCCAGTGCACATTATGTAGTCTTTCACCCTATCTTTCCAGTAGGGAAGAACGTACACACACACACACAAACATACACACACACACACGCACACACACCCTCATACACATGCAAGCACAGTCAAACCAGTCCAACAGGCAGCCAGAATAGAGCTCATCAATCATAACTATATTTATAAACATGAGGATGTGAGAGACCACTCAAATCAACATTTAAATACCAGCATGGTTTGGGCTGTGTGTGTACATGTGTGTGTGTGGGTGGTTTGGGCTGAGAAGTTGAAAGCAGATGATGTAAACTACTTGTTTTGTGCCAAAGTTTTGATAATTGGTTGTCGTTGTATGACTTCTGAGGTGTGTGTGTGTGTGTGTGTGTGTGTGTGTGTGTGTTCTAGGGATCCTGAAACATAAACATAAACACTGGGGAGTATAAACTTCTGACAAAACACAGTTATTCATATCTCACAGGGCAGTCAACACATCACATGGTGAGAACCAGAGGAGAATGTCATAGCTTCTCAGAACCAGAGGAGAATATCATAGCTTCTCAGAACCAGAGGAGAATGTCACAGCTTCTCAGAACCAGAGGAGAATGTCATAGCTTCTCAGAACCAGAGGAGAATGTCACAGCTTCTCAGAAACAGAGGAGAATGTCATAGCTTCTCAGAACCAGAGGAGAATGTCATAGCTTCTCAGAACCAGAGGAGAATGTCATAGCTTCTCAGAAACAGAGGAGAATATCATAGCTTCTCAGAACCATAGGAGGATGTCACAGCTTCTCAGAACCAGAGGAGAATGTCATAGCTTCTCAGAACCAGAGGAGAATGTCATAGCTTCTCAGAAACAGAGGAGAATGTCATAGCTTCTCAGAACCAGAGGAGAATGTCATAGCTTCTCAGAAACAGAGGAGAATGTCATAGCTTCTCAGAACCAGAGGAGAATGTCATAGCTTCTCAGAACCAGAGGAGAATGTCATAGCTTCTCAGAACCAGAGGAGAATGTCATAGCTTCTCAGAACCAGAGGAGAATGTCATAGCTTCTCAGAACCAGAGGAGAATGTCATAGCTTCTCAGAACCAGGAAATAGATGAACGTGGAAAGACTTCAAATTGGGACTATACGTTTCTATCTGCATTGTTGTCCAAATGGAGTTATTGACATAGCTTTGTTCTGTTCAATATTCTCTACCTATATAGTACTCTAACTACCCCCATCTCATGGTGTTAAGGTCAAAAGAATACAATATAAAACTTGCTGACACCATGCAAACCAATGAGGGTTCGGAACTTTAAAGCCAATTATCTCAGGATCATCTTTTTGCAGATAGAACTTTACAGTCCCAAGCTCTAACATCAGCTTTTTTTTTGCTGTATGTATCATTCATTTTACTGTAGATTTGTTTTCTTGATCTTTCCTTAAAGTTCTGACACACACACACACACACACACACAAATACAAACACGCACTCTTGCACACACCCTCTCCTCTGGTGTGGTATGAGTCTCTGAGAGGTAATATGTTTCTGTGAAGAGCCTTTATGACTTCACTCAGGCAGCATATGAGTCATAAAACACACTGGCCCTGCTCTGGCCCGACACACACACACACACACACACACACACACACTGTTTTAAGTCAGCGTCTGAGAAAGGGAGAACAGACTGAAGGGAAATAATCACAGTGCGACTTAAATGGTGAAGTGTGAAGGTTGGCATTTAAATCATCTGGGTGGATTAGAATGAAAACAACTGTAAAATATATGTTAATGTGGCACAAAGCACTGACATCATGTTCTGTAGATCTGAGTGGCATAACGAGAAAGAGAGAGAGAGAGAGAGAGAGAGAGAGAGAGAGAGAGAGAGAGAGAGAGAGAGAGAGAGAGAGAGAGAGAGACTGTGCTGAAAGCTGCAGTGTCATTGTCCAGCTGTCTTTCGGTTCTCTGGAGAAACAGAAGGTTGGTTTGCATTCTTCACCTCCTCCGACTCCATCTCTATCCCCTCTCCCTTCTGCAGACACTGGCGGTACGGGGGGTGGTTCTGAACACACACACACACAGAGACGAACGGCTCTGGATTACCTAGAGTCTGCACTGTTTGTGTTCTCCAAACCCTTGTAGTTTAATTTATGTGACAAAAGTTGGTTAGAGTACAGATATTATGTAACTATACAGTGGAGAGTTCAGTTACCCATTTATTCATGATTCCTTCGCTGGCGATCTTCACCTCGATGCGGTTGCTGAAAATCTCTTTCTTCATCCTGGACACACAAGAAAAGAAAACACAGGAAAGGTTAAAGTGGCAGTTCAGTCCTAAATCAATATTTGTCAAAGTGACTAAAACCTCAGTGAGGACAATGTGTTAGTTTCCTACCTGTTGAGTTTCATGTTGTGGATGAGTCGATCTCTGTGGATGTCAGCTATCTCCTGTTTAGTCTGCTGGCAGAACCTACAGGGATGGAGATGGAGTAGTGTAGAGCACAGCAGTCAGACATGTTATATACTGTAATATTATTGGTGATGCTATCTCTTTCTTGCCTATGTGTTGTATTTCTGTGCCCGTGTGTGTGTGTGTGTGTGTGTGTGTCTTACGTGTTGTATTCCTGTTGCCTTTTGTGACTCCTCTCCTCCACATCAGTCAGCACCTCTTGGTAGGTGGGTTTGGACGGAGTTACACCACAGACAGTCAAGGAATACAACTACTGTCACCTTCTTATGACAAACTACAGTATCTCTATCTAACTTCTGTTACAGTGAGGGAAAAAAGTATTCGTTTGCCCACTGACAAAGAAATGATCAATCTATAATTTTAATGGTAGGTTTATTTGAACAGTGAGAGGCAGAATAACAACAAAAAAATCCAGAAAAACGCATGTCAAAAATGTTATAAATTGATTTGCATTTTAATGAGGGAAATAAGTATTTGACCCCCTCTCAATCAGAAAGATTTCTGGCTCCCAGTTGTCTTTTATACAGGTAACGAGCTGAGATTAGGAGCACACTCTTAAAGGGAGTGCTCCTAATCTCAGCTTGTTACCTGTATAAAAGACACCTGTCCACAGAAGCAATCAATCAATCAGATTCCAAACTCTCCACCATGGCCAAGACCAAAGAGCTCTCCAAGGATGTCAGGGACAAGATTGTAGACCTACTCAAGGCTGGAATGGGCTACAAGACCATCGCCAAGCAGCTTGGTGAGAAGGTGACAACAGTTGGTGCGATTATTCGCAAATGGAAGAAACACAAAAGAACTGTCAATCTCCCTTGGCCTGGGGCTCCATGCAAGATCTCACCTCGTGGAGTTGCAATGATCATTAGAACGGTGAGGAATCAGCCCAGAACTACACGGGAGGATCTTGTCAATGATCTCAAGGCAGCTGGGACCATAGTCACCAAGAAAACAATTGGTAACACACTACGCCATGAAGGACTGAAATCCTGCAGCACCCGCAAGGTCCCCCTTCTCAAGAAAACACATATACAGGCCCGTCTGAAGTTTGCCAATGAACATCTGAATGATTCAGAGGAGAACTGGGTGAAAGTGTTGTGGTCAGATGAGACCAAAATCGAGCTCTTTGGCAACAACTCAACTCGCCGTGTTTGGAGGAGGAGGAATGCTGCCTATGACCCCAAGAACACCATCCCCACCATCAAATATGGAGGTGGAAACATTATGCTTTGGGGGTGTTTTTCTGCTAAGGGGAAAAGACAACTTCACCGCATCAAAGGGACGATGGACGGCGCCATGTACCGTCAAATCTTGGGTGAGAACCTCCTTCCCTCAGCCAGGGCATTGAAAATGGGTCGTGGATGGGTATTCCAGCATGACAATGACCCAAAACACACGGCCAAGGCAACAAAGGAGTGGCTCAAGAAGAAGCACATTAAGGTCCTGGAGTGGCCTAGCCAGTCTCCAGACCTTAATCCCATAGAAAATCTGTGGAGGGAGCTGAACGTTCGAGTTGCCAAACGTCAGCCTCGAAACCTTAATGACTTGGAGAAGATCTGCAAAGAGGTGGGACAAAATCCCTCCTGAGATGTGTGCAAACCTGGTGGCCAACTACAAGAAACATCTGACCTCTGTGATTGCCAACAAGTCATGTTTTGCAGAGGGGTCAAATACTTATTTCTCTCATTAAAATGCAAATCAATTTATAACATTTTTGACATGCATTTTTCTGGATTTTTTTGTTGTTATTCTGTCTCTCAGTGTTCAAATAAACCTACCATTAAAATTATAGACTGATCATGTCTTTGTCAGTGGGCAAACGTACAAAATCAGCAGGGGATCAAATACTTTTTTCCCTCACTGTATGTTAAATTTAATTAAAGCCTATCAGGTCCTGTGCCTCCCGAGTTGCGCAGCGGTCTAAGGCACTGCATCGCAGTGCTAGAGGCGTCACTACAGACCATGGTTCGATCCCGGCCTGTATCACAACCGGCTGTGATCGGGAGGACCATAGGGCGGCGCACAATTGTCCCAGCGTCGTCCGGGTTAGGAGAGGGTTTGGCCGGGGGGGGGTTTACTGCAGGCTGACCTCAGTCGTCAGTTGAACAGTGTTTCCTCCGACACATTGCCAGGTCGCAGTTGTAAATGCGAACTTGTTCTCAACTGGCTTACCTGGTTAAATAAAGGTGAAATTAATATAAATAAATAAAATTGGTGCGGCTGGCTTCTGGGTTAAGCGGGTGGGTGTTAAGAAGCACGGTTAGGCGGGTCATGTTTCGGAAGGACCCATTACTTGAAAAAGGGGGTGAAATACAAAAAAAAAAGCCTATCAGGTCCTATACATTCTCAAACTATGATTATCACAGAGTTTTACAGTTTTACAGTCAGAATATGGACAGAAAAAGCAGATGAGATTAGTTAACTTTGAACTCTATAGCCCCTGTACCCAGCCCTCCCCTCTTCTCCTGTGCCAGGTTCATTAAGGGGTCCATTAACTCCAGTAAAGTACAGTCCCACATAATCCATGCATGTTTTATTAGCATGTTTATGAGTATGTTTTTGACATGTTGTTCTCAGCATGAATACAGTGTGCCAGCTGTGTACAAGACAACGTGTGTGTCTATGCCTGTGTGCGTGTGTGCGTGTGTGCGTCTGTGTGTATGTGTGCATGTATGTATGTATGTGTGTGTGTGTGTGTGTGTGTGTGTGTGTGTTTGTGTCTGTGTGTGTTTGTGTGAGTGTGTGTGCATGTGTGTGTGTGTAAGGATATGGCAGGTTGGTGATCTCAGTGCGTGTGATCCTGCGTGTGTCAGATCCAGCGGGTGTAGGGATGTCTTGGAGGTGCAGGTAGCGAGACACCAGAGGACTCTGACCACAGGGCTTGAAACGGACATGCTGGAACTCTGGACCTGCTCCGATGTAGTGGGACTGGAACACACAACACATTACAACTAATACTAAACACACAACACATTACAACTAATACTAAACACACAACACATTACAACTGATACTAAACACACAACACATTACAACTGATACTAAACACACAACAACTAATACTAAACACAAAACACATTACAACTAATCCTAAACACACAACACATTACTACTAATACTAAACACACAGAACACATTACAACTAATACTAAACACACAACACATTACTACTAATACTAAACACACAGAACACATTACAACTAATACTAAACACACAGAACACATTACAACTAATACTAAACACACAACAACTAATACTAAACACACAACAACTAATACTAAACACAATTACATTTAAATCATTTAGCAGACGCTCTTATCCAGAACGACTTACAGGAGCAATTAGGGTTAAGTGCCTTGCTCAAGGGCACATCGACAGATTTTTCACCTAGTTGGCTCGGGGATTAGAACCAGCGACCTTTCGGTTACTGGCACAACGCTCTTAACCACTAAGCTACCTGCCGCCAACTAATACTAAACACACAACACATTACAACTAATACTAAACACACAACACATTACAACTAATACTAAACACAGAATGCTGTGGTGAATGATGGACGGAGTCAGGCGCAGGAGTAAAATAACCGGATGCAGATGTATTCCTTCCAGACATACAATGCGCCTATAACGGCAATCGAAACAGGTACAGGGGAAACAATCCTCCCTGACCAAACACAGTCTCAGAAAATACAATAAATGTAATGACACCGGGGAAAATCAACCCTGGCAAAATAAATGAGAGAGTATCGCAACCGAGCTACTCTCCTCCCACATAGAACAATCACTCACAAAGACAAGGGGGCAGAGGAAACACTTATACACAGACTAATTACATTTTAGGGGCAGCAGGTAGCTTAGTGGTTAAGAGCGTTGTGCCAGTAATCGAAAGGTCACTGGTTCTAATCCCCGAGCCGACTAGGTGAAAAATCTGTCGATGTGCCCTTGAGCAAGGCACTTAACCCTAATTGCACCTGTAAGTCGCTCTGGATAAGAGCGTCTGCTAAATGACTAAAATGTAAATGTAATTAGGGGATGAGCACCAGGTGTGTGTGATTGACAAGTGGAGTGATGAGAATGGGAGCGGCAGTAGCTAGTAAGTCGGTGACGATGAACGCCGAAACCTGCCCGAACAAGGCGTCGTGACAAACGCATTACTACTAAACACATTACAATCAATACTAAACACATATCAACTAATACTTAACACACATATCAGCTAATACACAACACATGATAATTACACACACACTTTGACACCTTTACCATTTTCACACTATCGTGCCGACCCAAACTGTACTGTTCTGGCTCTGATGTGTTCTTTCCACCGTTGCAGCAGGGTTCCGTCAACTACAGTGGATGCATAACCAGGCCAGCTTGGCTTGGCTTGACCCGGCTCAGTAGAAATGGGTAATTGTGTTGATTCTCTCTGAATCAACGTAGTGTACCATATTGCTGTGTTACCTCTCTCTTGCGGTCCATCCTGGTGTCAGCATTGGCGATGCTTCCTCTCTTCTGCTTCTCTGTGGGGCTGAGACTCAGTCTCCTGGCGCTGGACACCATCTCTTCAAACTCCATCTGCAGGTCTGACACACACACACACAGTGAGTGATTAGTGTATAGTGTGGGTATGGTTAACACCAGAGTCATGTATAGGCTATGGGTGCAAAAGCACGGTGCACTGCAAAGTGGAAAATGTACCATAAACCTCATTATCATCGGACTATTTATGTATTGCTCCGTTTTTTTTATTATTATACCATGCCATTGTTGAATATTTGTTTTTGATTGTCTTGAAGGGCATTCTATAATGCACGGTATATCAGCACGGTAGAATTCAATGGCTATAGTTAATTCTTATATGTTATATACTGCTTTTGACAGCAAAAGTCAAATTGAAAACATTATTGGCATTGTTGAGCTAGGACTGATGGTTTGGTTAGCTAAACTAGCAAGTCTGTTTGTTTGGTTACCAAGGCAATTACTGTAGCTATCTAAACTCAGCAAAAAAAGAAACGTCCACTCACTGTCAACTGCATTTATTTTCAGCAAACTTAACATGTGTAAATATTTGTATGAACGTAACAAGATTCAACAACTGAGACATAAACTGAAAAGGTTCCACAGACATGTGACTAACAGAAATTGAATAATGTGTCCCTGAACAAAGGGGGGGTCAAAATCAAAAGTAACAGTCAGTATCTGGTGTGGTCACAAGCTGCATTAAGTACTGCAGTGCATCTCCTCCTCATGGACTGCACCAGATTTGCCAGTTCTTGCTGTGAGATGTTACCCCACTCTTCCTCCAAGGCACCTGCAAGTTCCCGGACATTTCTGGGGGGAATGGCCAAAGCCCTCACCCTCCGATCCAACAGGTCCCAGACGTGCTCAATGGGATTGAGATCCGGGCTCTTCGCTTGCCATGGCAGAACACTGACATTCCTGTCTTGCAGGACATCACGCACAGAACGAGCAGTATGGCTGGTGGCATTGTCATGCTGGAGGGTCATGTCAGGATGAGCCTGCAGGAAGGGTACCACATGAGGGAGGAGGATGTCTTCCCTGTAACGCACAGCGTTGAGATTGCCTGCAATGACAACAAGCTCAGTCCGATGATGCTGTGACACACCGCCCCAGACCATGACGGACCCTATACCTCCAAATCGATCCCGCTCCAGAGTACAGGCCTCGGTGTAACGCTCATTCCTTCGACGATAAACGCGAATCCGACCATCACCCTTTGAGACAAAACCGTGACTCGTCAGTGAAGAGCACTTTTTGCCAGTCCTGTCTGGTCCAGCGACGGTGGGTTTGTGCCTATAGGCGACATTGTTGCCGGTGATGTCTGGTGAGGACCTGCCTTACAACAGGCCTACAAGCCCTCAGTCCAGCCTCTCTCAGCCTATTGCGGACAGTCTGAGCACTGATGGAGGTATTGTGCGTTCCTGGTGTAACTCGGGCAGGTGTCCCGCAGGTGTGATGTTCGGATGTACCGATCCTGTGCAGGTGTTGTTACACGTGTTTTGCCACTGCGAGGACGATCAGCTGTCCGTCCTGTCTCCCTGTAGCACTGTCTTAGGCGTCTCACAGTACGGACATTGCAGTTTATTGCCCTGGCCACATCTGCAGTCCTCATGCCTCCTTGCAGCATGCCTAAGGCACATTCACGCAGATGAGCAGGGACCCTGGGCATCTTTCTTTTGGTGTTTTTCAGAGTCAGTAGAAAGGCCTCTTTAGTGTCCTAAGTTTTCATAACTGTGACCTTAATTGCCTACCGTCTGTAAGCTGTTAGGCCCCGTGTAGCTCAGTTGGTAGAGCATGGCGCTTGCAACGCCAGGGTTGTGGGTTCGTTCCCTACGGGGGGCCAGTATGAAAAAATGTATGCACTCACTAACTGAAAGTCGCTCTGGATAAGAGCATCTGCTAAATGACTAAAATGTAAATGTTAGTGGATTTTGAACACATTTCTAGCTGCAAATGTATTAACTTATGGCCAAGTTGTTCATTTTTTCCATAGAATACATAGCCCCCAGCTATTATCCCTTACATAATCCGCTCCTTATAACGGCCATTGTTGAAGAACATTTTCAGATTAAATCACACTGCAAGATTATAATGAGGTTTACGGTATTTTCTGCACTTTGCACAATGCTTTTGCACTAAGAAAATGTTGCCCTAAATCTATGAATCAGGTTGGCACTAGACTAACCTCACCCCCCCCAGGCTATTGTGCACAGCGCATATAAGCCTGGGATATCAACCACTCAAAATTGGCCTTACTGGGAGTGGCCATAGAATTCTATTGGAGTGACCTACTGAGTAAAGTATTTGTCATCATTTAATTTAAGCGAATCACACAACTGCGAAGAGTGGCTCTGTGCTTGTGGTGTGCTAGCATACAGGATAGAGTTAGGGGGAAGGTGTTGTGGAAGATGATTGGTTGGTAGATTAAGCCGATTAAGCCAATGTCTACGCGGCGGGAATTTCTCCCGGCTCTCTGTATTGGCTAACGAAGGTACACCAGGCTTTGGGTGAAAGTGTCTGGGAAGGAGATTAGCACTGGACAGATGATGTATGACATGCCCTGTTCAAATCCGCCTGACGCCACTTCTAACCCCAACACTCACTACACCAGGGTCAAACAAACACACAGGGTGTCCTTTTTAGAGGAAACTTTATACCATACACACACACATGGACACAAGCATACACCCACACACACAAACATACGCACACACAAACACACAACTACTCTAACAGGTGGGCAGGCAGGAACTCAGCTGTTTGGGTTTCCAGAGCTTGTTCAGTTAAATTGTGACCAGAGCCACAGATGGAGAGCTTTGTGCCCCTAAACCCCTAAAAACACTGCCTGCCAGCTCTCTCTCTCTCTCTCTCTCTCTCTCTCTCTCTCCCTCTGTCCCTCTCTGTCTGTCCCTCTCTGTCTGTCTCTCTCACTATCCCTCTCTCTATCTCTCTCTCTATATCCCCCTCTCTCTCTCTCTCTCTCTCTCTCTCTCTCTCTCTCTCTCTCTCCCTCTGTCCCTCTCTGTCTGTCTCTCTCACTATCCCTCTCTCTATCTCTCTCTCTATATCCCCCTCTCTCTCTTTCTGTTTGGTCTCTCTATCTCTCTCTCTCTAGAGTGTGTTTGTCTAAGCAAGGCAAGGCAGTGCTCTTCCAGCCCCAGAGAGCAGACCTGATCCCCAGCAGCTGTTGCTGTATTCATGTGGATTAGAGTTTTCCCCAGACACAGGCTGCGTCCTAAATACTATTCCATATGTGGTGCACTACTTTTGACCATAGCCTTATGGGCCCTGATCAAAAGTAGTGCATTATACAGGGAGTAGTGTTTCATTTGAGACACAGCCACAAAGAGAGACACAACACCTGTTCACATTCTGCACCAGCAACTAACTAGACCCATTACAACACTACACAACTCCCTAACAAGACACATAGTGTATAATAGGTTATACGCCACTTAGCAGACACTTTTATCTAAAGCGACTTGCAGTACAGTGAGTGCACACATGTTTAGTCAAGAGAGAGAAGAGATGTAGATAAGGCCTTTGGGGATATTAACAGTTAATGCTGTGTTCTGTATTTTGAGAAAGTGGACTGTCATTATTTTATGACAACAGTCTCCTTTTCAGACAGTCTTTGGAAGATAAGCCATCATAAGGTAAACACACCACAGAGGAGGAACATGACACGTGGCCCCATAATGTTTCATTATGAAGTTACTGAAACCCAATGATATATTTGCAACGCCAGGGTTGTGGGTTCGATTCCCATTGGGGGGCCAGTATGAATAATAATATGTATTCACTAACTGTAAGTCGCTCTGGATAAGAGCGTCTGCTAAATGACGTAAATGTAAATGTTAGCAAAGCATGGACCACATATATTTTCTAGCCAGGGACAGTCAGTGAGTTAAGAAGAAACAACCAGCTCAGTGTTCATATAAACAAAAAGACAGACAGACGGACAGACAGACAGGCGGACAGACAGACAGACATCAGACATCATCATCAGCAACATCAAAGTCATGTTGTAACATAGCCTGGTCTAAGCCTGGGGTGAAGTCATGTTGTAACGTAGCCTGGTCTAAGCCTGGGGTGAAGTCATGTTGTAACATAGCCTGTTCTAAGCCTGGGGTGAAGTCATGTTGTAACATAGCCTGGTCTAAGCCTGGGGTGAAGTCATGTTGTAACGTAGCCTGGTCTAAGCCTGGGGTGAAGTCATGTTGTAATGTAGCCTGGTCTAAGCCTGGGGTGAAGTCATGTTGTAACATAGCCTGGTCTAAGCCTGGGGGTGAAGTCATGTTGTAACATAGCCTGGTCTAAGCCTGGGGTGAAGTCATGTTGTAACATAGCCTGGTCCTAAGCCTGGGGTGAAGTCATGTTTGTAACGTAGCCTGGTCTAAGCCTTGGGTGAAGTCCATGTTGTAATGTAGCCTGGTCTAAGCCTGGGGTGAAGTCATGTTGTAACATAGCCTGGTCTAAGCCTGGGGTGAAGTCATGTTGTAATGTAGCCTGGTCTAAGCCTGGGGTGAAAGGCATGTTGGTAACGTAGCTGGTCTTAAGCCTGGGGTGAAGTCATGTTGTAACGTAGCCTGGTCTAAGCCTGGGGTGAAGTCATGTTGTAACGTAGCCTGGTCTAAGCCTGGGGTGAAGTCATGTTGTAACGTAGCCTGGTCTAAGCCTGGGGGTGAAGTCATGTTGTAATGTAGCCTGGTCTAAGCCTGGGGTGAAGTCATGTTGTAACATATCCTGGTCTAAGCCTGGGGTGAAGTCATGTTGTAACATAGCCTGGTCTAAGCCTGGGGTGAAGTCATGTTGTAACATAGCCTGGTCTAAGCCTGGGGGTGAAGTCATGTTGTAACACATCCTGGTCTAAGCCTGGGGTGATATCCAGAGTGACTGTAAAGAGGGTGGACAGGTCTGAGAAGTGACCAATAGGACCAGGCAGCCCTGTCTCTCTCAATTCAATTAAATTAAATTCAATCTAAGGGCTTTATTGGCATGGGAAACGTATGTTAACATTGCCAAAGCAAGTGAAGTAGATAGTAAACAAAAGTGAAATAAACAATAAATATTAACAGTAAACATTACACTCAGCAGTTCCAAAAGAATAAAGACATTTCAAATGTCATATTATGTCTATATACAGTGTTGTAACAATGTGCAAATAGTTAAAGTACAAATGGGAAAATAAATAAACATAAATATGGGTTGTATTTACAATCGTGCTTGTTCTTCACTGGTTGCCCTTTTCTTGTGGCAACAGGTCACAAATCTTGCTGCTGTGATGGCACACTGTGGTTTTTCACCCAGTAGATAAGGAAGTTTATCAAAATTGGGTTTGTTTTCAAATTATTTGTGGATCTCTGTAATCTGAGGGAAATATGTGTCTCTAATATGGTCATACATTTGGCAGGAGGTTAGGAAGTGCAGCTCAGTTTCCACCTCATTTTGTGGGCAGTGTGCACATAGCCTGTCTTCTCTTGAGAGCCAGGTCTGCCTACGGCGGCCTTTCTCAATAGCAAGGCTATGCTCACTGAGTCTATACATAGTCAAAGCTTTCCTTAACTTTGGGTCAGTCACAGTGGTCAGGTATTGTGCCACTGTGTACTCTCTGTTTAGGGCCAAATAGCATTCTAGTTTGCTCTGTTTTTTTGTTAATTCTTTCCAATGTGTCAAGTAATTATCTTTTTGGTTTCTCATGATTTGATTGGGTCTAATTGTGTTGTTGTTGTTGTCCTGGGGCTCTCTCTCTCTCTCTCTCTCTCTCTCTCTCTCACTCTCTCTCTCTCACTCTCCTTCTCACATTTCCTTCTCTTATCTATCTGTACGATCTCTTTCACACTTCAGTAACCCTTACCCTGAGACTATCTGAGCTGGAGCTATCTGAGACTATCTGTAGGGTCACTCTGACACCTCCACTCTGACCTGAGCTGACACCTCCACCCTGAGCTGAGCTGACACCTCCACCCTGACCTGAGCTGACACCTCCACCCTGAGATGAGCTGACACCTCCACCCTGACCAGAGCTGACACCTCCACCCTGACCTGAGCTGACTCCTCCACCCTGACCTGACACCTCCACCCTGACCTGAGCTGACACCTCCACCCTGACCTGACACCTCCACCCTGACCTGAGCTGACACCTCCACCCTGACCTGAGCTGACACCTCCACCCTGACCTGAGCTGACACCTCCACCCTGACCTGACCTGAGCTGACACCTCCACCCTGACCTGACCTGAGCTGACACCTCCACCCTGACCTGACCTGAGCTGACACCTCCACCCTGACCTGAGCTGACACCTCCACCCTGACCAGAGCTGACACCTCCACCCTGAGCTGAGCTGAGCTGACACCTCCACCCTGACCTGAGCTGACACCTCCACCCTGACCTGAGCTGACACCTCCACCCTGAGCTGAGCTGACACCGCCACCCTGAGCTGAGCTGACACCTCCACCCTGAGCTGAGCTGACACCTACACCCTGACCTGACACCTCCACCCTGACCTGAGCTGACACCTCCACCCTGACCTGAGCTGAGCTGACACCTCCACCCTGAGCTGAGCTGAGCTGACACCTCCACCCTGAGCTGAGCTGTAACCATCAGAGCTGTGATGACCTAGCCTGTGACTCTCTGTCACCTTTTATTGCTGCTGTGAAACTGTGTGTTAGGACCCAGGAAGAGACGCTTCAGAGAGCTTGTTTACAGCAGTACAGTCTGAGTGCGTGCCATGGAGTGTGTGTGAGAGGGTGTGTGTTTTCTGTGTCCTGTCCTTGGCTGCTGTTCCAGATCAGACTGTTCTATTCCTCTTCACAGGATACTGCTGTTTCATGGTGAGTCATGTTACATCTTCAATCATCGTCTTCATCTTCCTTCAGTTACAGGATATGAGTAAAAGCCATTTTGATTCTGCGACAACACATTTTCTTTGTATTCTTCACTGTAAGATGGTGTTTGATCTCTGATATCTGATATCTGATCCAGTGCTGTTGGAGACAGGTCAACCTGTCTGCTAGTTACACATGCTACGTGTGTGTGTTTGTGTGTGTTTGTTTGTGTGTGTGTGTGTGTGTGTGTGTGTGTGTGTGTGTTATTTATAGTGCATGGCGAATGTTGTCAGCTCCATCCCTAGAGCTCCCCACTTACAGTGGAATTTAGAAAGCAAGAGCTAAACCCAAACAGTCTAAACCTGGGCTAAGAATAACTGACCTTAAATATCATCCATCCACACACAGAGTAAACCTTCTCATTTCACTACAAGACAGGGCGAAGCAGGAACACAGACACAGACACACACACGCACACGCACACACACACACAGAGACGCCTCCTCCCAGAAATGCTTTTAAAGAGTGGTGCGGTGTGTGTGTGTGTGTGTGTGTGTGTGTGTGTGTCTGCTTGTGTGGAGGAAGATATCACAAAGTACCCTAATAGTGGAACTACTCTAACTAGTGGATCTAGCACTGTGTCAGCAGGAGAAGTGGTTCACTGGACACACCAACGGACAAAACCAACAGGGAAATCCTGTTCTGATCCTGCCAATGAGGCATTCTAATCTCTGCACCCAGAACCCAATCTCACACAAGAGACTATAGAGGCATTACAACTAACCAGTTGTGGCTGGCGGCACTCTAAGCCGGAGGACAGGTTCATAGTAGTGGCTGGACCGGAATGAATGGAACGGTATCAAACACATCAATATGTGGTTTCCATATGTTTGATTCTGCTCCATTCGGTCTATTCCAGTCAATACTACGAGCCGCCCTCACCTGCCTCCACTGTAACTAACCTGCTGATTAACCAACATGTTGGTTGGACTGAGGTCCAGTCTGTGTTTGATGTATGGCTACGCCCCAAATAGCACCCTATTCCCTATAGCGCACTACTTTTGACCAGGGCCAATATAGGGACAAACCAATGCACTATATAGGGAATAGTGTGCCATTTGGGGCACAGGCTGCTGGACCTTGGGGCCTATGATTAGACAGTAACCAGTGATTTGTCCCCAAACCATAACCCTGACCTGCAGACACCCCATCAGCCACAGTCCATAAACCCTGCTCCTACATTATATGTAAAGATACAGCTAGAGAGACCGGACGCACGTAACAACAACACTCACACGGATACTGCAGCTCTGGATAGTTTCTGAGCTTAGGACTTCCAATGGATTCAGAGAATAAAATTCATAACCTGTCCTGTAAATGTAACTTCATGTCTTCAGGAAATTGTGGTAAGGAAATACTTCTGGTCTAACTCACTATGGCTGTTTCTCCCAAGTTGTACCCAATTCCCTATAAAGTGCACTCCTTTTGACCAGAGCCCTATGGGCCCTGGTCAAAAGTAGTGAAATACATACGGAATAGGGTGCCATTTGGGACGTAAGTACTGTACGTGGTTCAGAAGAGCAGTCTTCAGCTCTGAGTCAGAAGGCTACCCCTGACAACAGGCTGTATCTGGAGTTGGCTTTAAGGTTTGAGGTTTGGCCCTCCAGAGCTCTGTTAGCGTGTTAGTGTGTTTCTGGTGCGTGTTAGCATGTTTCTGCAAACGTGTCCCATCCTAATCACCTCAGCCCTCTCAGGATCTATTGGCCGTGGCAGCTTTAACAATGAGCCCAGTCAATTAGCAGGAAAGGTGAGGTTTTAAAGACTGACCTCTGGGTTGGACGCAGCACATACCTCTGGCAGCTACCACACTCTACTCAATAACCTATATACTATAACTGAGGGAGAGAGAGAGAGAGAGAGAGGAGGAGAAGGAGGAGGGAGAGAGACGGAGTAAGAGAAAGAAAGAGAGAGAGGTAGAGAAGTTAAAGAGGTGTACTCACGCAGGTCTGTCGTGCCTGCGGCCAGTCTACTTCCTGTGCTGTTCTGCTGTAAAGGCCAGCTGAGCTGAACAGAGCTGAGCAGAGCAGAGACCGAACAGAGCTGAGCTGAGCAGAGGCCGAATAGAGCAGAGCAGAGACCGAACAGAGCTGAGCAGAGACAGAACAGAGCTGAGCAGAGCAGAACTGAACAGAGACAACACAGAGCTGAGCAGAGCAGAGACAGAGCAGAGACAGATCAGAAAAGAGACAGAGCTCAGCAGAGACAGAGCTGAGCAGAGACAGAGCTGAGCAGAGACAGAGCTGAGCAGAGACATAGCTGAGCAGAGACATAGCTGAGCAGAGACAGAGCAGAGACAGCGACAGAGCAGAGACAGAGCTGAGCAGAGACAGAGTTGAGCAGAAATAGAGCTGAGCAGAGACAGAGCTGAGCAGAGACAGAGCAGAGACATAGCTGAGCAGAGACAGAGTTGAGCAGAGACAGAGCTGAGCTGAGCAGAGACAGAACAGAGCTGAGCAGAGCAGAACTGAACAGAGACAACACAGAGCTGAGCAGAGCAGAGACAGAGCAGAGACAGATCAGAAAAGAGACAGAGCTGAGCAGAGACAGAGCTGAGCAGAGACAGAGCTGAGCAGAGACATAGCTGAGCAGAGACATAGCTGAGCAGAGACAGAGCAGAGACAGCGACAGAGCAGAGACAGAGCTGAGCAGAGACAGAGTTGAGCAGAAATAGAGCTGAGCAGAGACAGAGCTGAGCAGAGACAGAGCAGAGACATAGCTGAGCAGAGACAGAGTTGAGCAGAGACAGAGCTGAGCTGAGCAGAGACAGAGCTGAGCAGAGACAGAGACAGAGACAGAGCAGAGACAGATCTGAGCAGAGACAGAGCTGAGCAGAGACAGAGCTGAGCAGAGACAGAGCTGAGCAGAGACAGAGCCGAGCAGAGACAGAGCTGAGACAGAGCTGAGCAGAGACAGAGCTGAGACAGAGCTGAGCAGAGACAGAGCTGAGCAGAGACAGAGCTGAAC